CCAATTGCAAATTTACTCAAACTTGTTTGGTGCAACAGCCACCATGCATGTGGAAGGAAAACAGACCAGCTGGCCCAGTGACACTCACTCATACACTGGGAGAACATACACACTAAAGGCCCCAGGTGAGCTGCACAAATACAGATGTCCACCTGAAGGACAACGCTGCTCCACCTTTCCGCTTCCACTCTTTAACAGAGGAAAACAACAAGGAAACATCATGCATTATCATCCTGCTAGTTTCAACTTGTGAGTTTATGGCTTTTCTTTGACAGTATAATTATTCCCTGTCTTTTCTCAGCTCCACAATTTACCAGGTGTAACCCACACATGCATCTCAAATAAACCAGGCTATGATGCACAATGATCCAAGAATCACATACAGCTTGGAGAAAAAAAGTTCTGAAAAAACAAACTAAATAAAAAAACTAAGAAAAAGTTAAATATACTCTATATGTGCATTTCTCATTTGGATACTGAATTGTCAATTATATTAGTTTTTGTCCAAATAAATATGAAATCATAGCAATTAAATAAGTGATTCTGAGGTTTTTTTGAGACTTTACAACATCCTCAGGTCCCCCTTTTGTCAAAATAACTTTAATCTATGTTGACACATAATTTACAATTTAGAAACCGGCATTTATTTTACAAAAGTAGCAAAGTTCCTAATTTATGAATAGATTTTAACATGCATTTATTAAAGTCACATTACAGTTTTTTTAACTCTAGAACAACTCTGAACTGAAGCAAAAAACCAAAGGAACTGTTCAAAACTCTTTGGACCTTTTTAGCAATCCATCTTTTTTCTGAGATCTGTCATCATCATGTTTAATCAAGAGTGTGGGAGTTAGTATAATATGGACAGAAACAAGATTTCTCTAGTAGAACATTTCAAAGAGGTATACCGAGTGTGAAAAGATGTTTTAACAATCAGAATTAACTTGTCAACGTCAGCAACAATAAATGAAAGCCGATATTTAGACAACTCGCCCATTTATCTTTGTTTCTGTGAATTTAGATAAAACCCCAAACAAGCATAAGCTTTTAATACAAATGCTAGTAAAGCACGCAATTTATGTTTAATCTTTGGGTTTTGTCCCACTCAAATGTAACCGATTTATGTTTATGTTTATGTATTTAGCAGACACTTTTGTCCAAAGCGACTTACAAGTGATAATCGGCATGTCGCCCTTGAGGCTAACAACAACAACACCAACAACAACTTGACATCAATTATGGAGAGGAGGGAACAAGGAGTGGACAGTAGAGAGGGGGGATGGGTGCAGGGAGGGTGCTAATTTAGAAGATGCTCTCTGAAGAGCAGGGTCTTCAGGAGTTTCTTGAAAATTGAAAAGGAAGCCACTGTTCTGGTAGTGCTTGGTAGGTCATTCCACATTTGTGGAATGATGCATGAGAAGAGTCTGGATTGTCCTGAGTGTGGTGTAGGCACTGCTAGCCGACGATCGTGTGATGATCGGAGCGGCCAGGCCAAGACGTAAGCCTTTGCAAGAGGATTCAGGTATTTAAAAGTTTGATCTCTGAAAATTGTAGTTAAGCTGTTCAGATTAGCCTAAGATTCCATCACTTTGTATACAAAAAGGATTTGATCACACAAAATAAACTATTGAGTTGCTTACAAGTTGTTGCATTCTATTCATCTTAATGTCCCACGTCAAAAATGACCAGTCATTTGAAATGAATGGAGTAAACACATTTTTGTGTAAAACCTAAGCTGGCATGGTGCTGCCCTACAACAAATTGGTAGCAAAGCCACAAAACTTAATTCTACACCTGACCTACAGGAAAAGTTTAGTGATATAGAAAAACTGTTGCAATTTTCTGTAAGAACTGTCAACAATGGTGTTTCTGCAGCAGAGTACCTAATGGGCAAAGCTTCCCTCAGTGTGTGTGTGTGTGTGTGTGTGTGTGTGTGTGTGTGTGTGTGTGTGTGTGTGTGTGTGTGTGTGTGTGTGTGTGTGTCCATCTTTTTTTTTTACCGTGTCCTGTCTGGCTGTGAAGCAAGAAGAATTGATGTCTGAATGCTGGTGACAAGCCTTACAGATTTACTCTCAGGTGGAGCATCAAAGCGTTTGCTTTTAATGTCACGCCTGACACTTAAAACTTTATTGTTATTGTTTTTGAATGCTTTGTAATTCTGACCAGACATGGAGACAGAGGTGAAAGAGAAAGGAAAAGAAAAGGTGGGGAGAGAGAGAGAGGGGGGGGGGGGGGGGGGGTTCCACAAAAATAAACAATGAACAAGAGTCTGCTTCTAGACCTGCAGAAAAAGAAAAAAAGCAAAAAGACAAAAAAAGGGACACAACAACAATACAACAAGATCTAGCTATCACTGCGTCAACTTGATGAAAAAATATATAACATTGCTTAACTGAAGAATCACGATAATAAATCACAGTGCATTAAGTGCCCACCATAGTCTTAAGACATGTGTTTAACGTGCCCAAGCCCATACTTTTGAGAGCACCATGTGAGCACCTGTGTATGTACACGCGCTTGTTTATTTAAGGTTTCTCTATAGGAGCGTCCAACAGAGAGTGTGAGGGACCACAGATCCGCCCCCCAAAGATGCGCAGGAGACGGGGGAAGCTCCAAGTTCCAGAGATCCAGGCGCTGCCCCAGAACACAGGAACCCCAAGGAGACTGCAACCAGAAAGGCCCCCGTCCCCCTCGAGAGGCACAGAGGATCGCCCCGGGGGGGCACAACCAGCAGCCGGCAGAGTCCCGGGAGACATCAGCGGCAAGCCCACAGGCCCACCCGCAGCCTCCCACCCCCTAGCCAGCCGAGCCCGGGACCCAGCCACCCGGGACCCAGGGGCGACCACCCCCCGCCGGGGACCCAGCAGAGCCCAGGGACCCAGACCCCACCAGGCAGCCACCGGGATCTATCAGGCAGATGCCAAAATCTTGAACCCCCAGACCCGGTTGCCACGAACACTCAGGCAAACCACGGCACAACCCCTCACACCAGGTGTGGCAGGGGGAGGGGGGACAAAGATCTATATCATCAAGAGAAGTTCCAGGAGAGGGGAGGAGTCAAAGGCCCCACCTGACATATACAGTCATACACAAACACAGTCACACACTCCCTCCCTCATGCTCACACATGCACATATAACCCAAGACTTACAAAAATGCACGCCGGACACCCACTCATGCTCCCCATACACACCCTATTCACTCTGGTCCCGGTACTGCTGACAACCATCACCGGTAACCAGAGTTTGACCCTTTCTGCTGGGGTGCTGATGAGCAGGCTCCCCCGCCCAACGCTGAGCACAGCAACCCACCACCCCAGACCCCAACCAGACGGCCAGATCCCCCTCCTAGCCTCCAGCCCCAGGAAAAATAGCAACAACAGAGGTGGCAAAGACCCCTAGTCTCCCTCCGCCTGCTCCAATATAGTGTTGTGTAATCATGAGGTGTATTCCTTGGCTGTGGTGAGTGGGCAGTGCGGGCATCATCCGGCCTATGCCCGCTGATGCCACCGCACCACCCCACTTACACCTTCAGCCATCAGTGTCTGAGTGCGGTTTAAAATTGGAAGTGGACACTGGCACCCGGGAGGAGGCTGAAATATCCCCCTGCCAAATGCCGTTGAATGTGCTCACTCCCAAGGCCCTAAGTGTGTGTTTGTGTGGAATGTCGTCAGTGGAAGTGTATAAGGTGCAAATAAAATTGGGGGGCAGTTTGCCACAGGAATGCGGAAATGGGGTCCATTCCCGCACTCCCTGACTTGCCCACCCCCCAAGGTCCTATGTGTATGTTTATGTGATGATGTGAGGGAGCAGGAGGAGAGAAATATGCGGGGATGGGAAGGAATGGCTGGTGGGGCTTAGCCCTCCAGGGAGCCAGCTCCCCTACTGGCCCCAATAGAAACCTCTGTTGTCAACTGCCACCCAGGGCATGGAGACCCCAGCCCATCCTGCCAAGGCCCAAAGCAGCAGCATTACAGAGCCCCACGGAGCCCGAGGGCACCAACCCAGCCCCACCCCAGCAGAATATCTATGCCCATTCCTGCATTTGCACAACTTCCAGAATATATAAGACATGGGACATCCAGGTAAGGTTGGATCCTCCCCCTACTGGACCTCCCCCTCCCCTGTGATGGAACGGCAGAGGAGCCAAGGTCTACCTGAGGCCCCCGAACCCGGGCCAGGCACTGCTGCGTGTTCCTGCCTTCTTCCCGAAGGCATACATGTCAGGACCCGACCCCCAAGGCCCCACCCAGATCCCCACACGGGGCCGGCCACCCCCAAATCCCGAGCCCCCAGGCCCCCACCCAGACCCGCCCAGGGGCATTGCAGCCGCCAGGCAGTGACCCATGGCCGCCGCCAAGATCCCCAAGGGGCCCCACTCACAACCGCTAGTAGTCCACCCCCCGAGCCAACCCAAGCACCTCCAGAGGAGGGCAACGGCCCCCCAGTCCCAGACACCCCCAGTGAACCCACCCCCAGGGAACATCTGGATACTCCAAACTCAGACCCCACACCCCCCCACCTACACCATCCCGCAGGACAACATCAACGGCCCCCCACCCTCGCTATGTGATGGAACCGATCAAAGGAGCCCAGAGAGATTCATCTGAAGTGGAAGCAGAGGCTATATCAAGTGCAATATGATCTAACAAAAGATTTCTATACTGGTTAATGCAGAGAGTTTCTCTATTCTTCCAATTCAAGAGGATAGTTTTCTTAGTGATGCATATGGCAGTCAGAACCACGTGAACCAAAGATGTTTCAATCGGGACATCGTCCAGGTTTCCCATTAAACAAAGAGAAGGGGAAGTTGGGATATGACATTTCAGACATTTTGACAGATCCTCACATACTCTACCCCAAAATTCCTGGACAGGTGGACAGGACCACAGTGCATGAATGTAATTGTCAGGAATGTTGTTTGTGCAGTGTGTACAGGTGTCAGACAACACAAACCCCATCTTGAACATTCGATGACCTGTCCAGTGTACTCTGTGTAGAATTTTGTACTGAATTAATTGTAAATTGGGGTGTCTGATCATTTTAAAAGTTTTTAAACAAGTTTGGGACCAGAAGTTCTGGTCAAAGCTAACTGATAGATCCACCTCCCATTATTCAATAGGGATTGCAATTTTATCGTCTATTTCTGACAGTGTCTTATATACTTTAGACAGTAGTTTGTGGGGGTTTGAGATTATAAAAGTCTAATACCCTTGGTGGTGTTTGTAATTCTATTTTATTGAGCTTAAATTTTTGTTTGACTACAGATTTAATTTGGTGATATTCTAAAAAGCTATTCTTATCCATTCCAAATTGGGAGACTATTTGATTAAATGGGATGAAGTCCAATCCTTCATATATGTGTTCCAGGTATAGGATTCCTTTATTTTTCCAGTCCGGAAGGTTCATCATTTTGTTGTTTTGCAAAATGTCAGGATTATTCCAGATAGGTGTGCGTCTACATGGTACTAGTGAAGACTCTGTGTGTGTGTCCATCTGACAAATGCACATGTACCCAAATTGCATTTGCTGCAAATGAAGTTCTTGGTTATAATTGATGGTCACCTTGTTTAATGGCCTGTATTTATTATACAGTGCCTTCTTATTGATCAACAACCCCCCAAGGCACTTTACAACACAATCAGTCATTCACCCATTCACACACATTCACATGCTGGTGGGGAGGAGCTACAATGTAGCCACAGCTGCCCTCAGAGGCGATGCCTGCCGAACGCTGGCGCCACCGGTCCCTCTGAGCACCTCCAGCAGGTAAGGCGGGTTAGGTGTCTTGCCCAAGGACAGAACAGCAGTATTCTCTGGCAAGATCCAGCATTGCACCAGCAATCTTCCAATTACTGAACAGCCTGCTCTTCCTCCTGAGCTACTGCTGTCTCAGATGAAGTGGGGACAGACGCGGAAGGTGTTGGTATATTGAAAAACTTGACCATTAGTTAAGAGATTACTCTTTGTTCTATCAAATGAGATCATGTTGTGTTTTTGTCCGTAATCCATTTTTTAGTTTTTTTCTTACACATTTTAGTAAAAAAAAATTTATTTACCTGACATGTTAGCTAGTAGATCTAGCCGTCCTCAGAAGGACATCAGAACGTACCGTGATGCATAAAATGTCAGTTATCAGAACATTATACCACAAAGCAAATATAAAAAAAAGAAGAACAAGATTCCAAACTGGAGGACCGACACATACAAAGCACATCAAAAACCTGCCGATGCCCAACATGGGCAATTAAAAAAGGAAAACTACGAAGTACAATAGAAAAGAAAAAAAAAAAAACAACAGAAAGAACCAGAAACACAGAAAGACTAGAACCAAAACCAGTAATAACCCTTCCATATATCAACTACGTAAGAGAAAAAAATAATAACAACAATGAAAAAACAATATCAACACAGCAACAAAACCATACGTGACAGTCAAAGATAGAATAGTATACCGAAAAGATAAGATATCAACAGTAGGGAGTGCGAGAGGGAAATAAGTCAAAGGCACACAAGAGCAGCCAAACAAGAAGCAGAAAGTACAATAAAGAAATCAGCTGTAACAGACCACTGCACAAGGGAAAACCGCACAATGGACTGGGGCGGCACACGGATCATAAACACAGAACAACCAAAATATAAAAGATGGATCAAAGAAGCAATAGAGATAAGGAGGCGTTCGCACAGGACCATGGACAGAGACGATGGAACACACATTGGATCACGCTTGGGACCGTGTCATCAGCAAGGACGCAGGCAGTAGAAGGCGACACTGTCCTCTGCTGCCCGTGGATAAAAGGAAGTGATGCTACCATTGCTACTAGCTGAAACATGTAAGGTCAATAAATAATTTTTACTAAACTGTGTAAGAAAAGAACTAAACAATGGATTAGGTCATGTTATGTTGATGCCCGGGTGAATTAACTGATAAAAAGAAGGTTAATATTGCTGTCAAACTTTAAACTTGTGTTTAAACTGGCTGTTCCTCAAGCTTTCAGCATTGTATTCTGTAACAGCCTGAATTAGGTGGACCAGCAGTAACAATAAAAAACACATAGATACAACAAGCTTTGGTCAATAATTGGAAGCAAAAGAAAACTACATAAGACCGTGTGTGGTTGATAACTAGTTCCAACATAAAACCGGTGAACGAACCCTCCAAGTGAAACTGACCCTCAGTAGGATTAATTTAGCAAACTCAATGAACAACAGATCCAAACAATTCAACTGCCATCAAATGTAAACATGAAGCCAGCACTGGGACACACTGATAACGTCTGGGATGTCAGATACCGATATAAAATTGTATTTCAAATGATGTTACAGCCCACCTGACTTGTATTAAATTCATTAGGAAAACAAGAAAGATTTAAATAACCTACAATTGACTTTTAGTTGTATCGGCTCAGACAAAAGTTTCTAGTTATACAAAAGACTAAAAACAAACACTAAACTTGGCTGACTTTACTTGAATAAAATGCTTTTCCTGAACCAAGCTAATAGCAAGCTGTAGCAATCAGTCACAGAAAAAAACAGTAATTTGCAATTTGGATAATGACCTCATGAAGAAAATGTAGTGATGTTATGATACTTAAACAGGTCATACCTCAGGGGGAGAATCAGAGTCTCCAAACACATCAGCAAACTCAGAGGGACTTTTCTTCAGAGTCTGGTCAGCAGGCAGCGTGTTGTCATTGTAAGATGACACAAACTTAAAGTCACTGGTTCTAGATCCTGTTGTCAGGTAGGCGTCATAGTTGTAGGAGCTGCGTAAAGTTCCTGTTCCATCAACATCTGCGTAATTAGGAGGGAGATAAGCTCCGGGAATGGCCACTGCTCCATCAAACAACAGTCTGGGCTTTCTCCTGCGACAAAACCTCACACCCAGGACGATGATGATGAAGGTCAGGAAGAAGGTGGACACACACACCAGCGCAATGATCAGATACGAGGTCAGTTTGGAGTTCTTGTCATCATAAGAAATATCTTTCAGCTCTGGCACCTCAGCCAAGTTATCAGAAATCAGTAAATGCATGGCACAGGTGGCAGACAGAGAGGGCTGTCCGTTATCTTTCACTGCTACAATCAGGTTCTGTTTCATGCTGTCAGATTCAGAAATGTCCCGCTGCGTCCTGATCTCTCCGCTGTGCACACCGATAGTGAAAAGTCCCGGATCAGTGGATCTGACTATCTGATAGGACAGCCAGGCGTTCTGTCCAGAGTCCGCGTCCACCGCTATCACTTTGGACACCAGAGAGCCTCCGTGTGCAGCTTTGGGGATCAGCTCGGTCATGAAGGAGCTGCCCTCCGGGGCGGGGTACAGTATCTGAGGAGAGTTGTCATTCACATCTGATACGAACACACTCACGGTCACGTTGCTGCTGAGAGGAGGAGAACCGTTGTCTCTGGCCATCACGTGGACTTTAAAACTCCTCAGCTGTTCATAATCAAACGACCTGACAGCGTGGATCACCCCCGTGTCTCCGTTAACTGATAGATAGGAGGACACCGAAACACCGTTCACCTCAGCAGGTAACAGAGAATAAATCACGGTACCGTTTTGTCTCCAGTCCGGGTCTCGAGCACTAACGGAACATAAAGTGGAGCCAGGTTTGTTATTTTCACTCACATAAGCGCTGTAGGACTGCTCCTCAAACACAGGTGGGTTGTCGTTGATGTCAGCTACAGATAACTGAACAGTTTTAGAGGAGGACAGAGGTGGAGAGCCCTCGTCAGTGGCACTGATTGTAATGTTGTAATCAGACACTAGTTCACGGTCCAGCTGTCCTGTGGTCACCACAGAATAATAGTTTTTGATAGAAGGAACCAACTTAAAAGGAACGTTCTGCTGGATGGAGCAGTGGACCTGTCGGTTCTTCTCAGAGTCTCTGTCCTGCACGTTGATGATGCCCACCTCTGTACCAGGTGAGGTGTCTTCTGGTATGGGAGTGGTCAGTGACTTCACATTAATGACAGGGGCGTTGTCGTTCACATCAGTAACAGAAATGATGACTTTAGCATAAGATGAAAGCCCAAGACCATCCTTTGCTTTAACGCGTATTTCATATGAGGAAGTACTTTCATAATCAACAGAACCAATGGTGCATATTTCACCAGTTTTACTGTTGATACTAAACAATTTCACGACCTCATCAGACACATGACCAAAATCATAAGTCACATCTCCGTTCAGTCCCTCATCAGCATCAGCTGCACTAACTGTGACCACTAGAGTGTCTAAAGGAGAGTCTTCAGGCAGACTGGCTTTATAAACCTCCTGACTGAACACTGGGGCGTTATCATTAGCATCCAGCACAGAGACATGAATGGCTACTGTACCTGATCTCTGAGGAGATCCTCCATCTAAAGCTGTCAGCAGCACATTTATTTCCTTGTACTTTTCACGATCAAGCTCCTTATCCAGAACAAGCTCTATTTTATTTCTATCAACAGCTAAAATAAAATGATCGTTCCTTTCAAGGCTGTACTGCTGAACTGCATTCTGTCCTACATCTGCATCATGCGCCTCCTCCAGCACAAAACGAGCTCCTCTGTCTGCAGATTCTTGAATTTCTAAACTGATCATCTTCTCCTTAAACTGTGGCGCGTTATCATTAATATCCTGAATATGAAGGCTGACCCGATGGAGCTCTAGAGGGTTTTCCAGCACGAGCTCCTGTTTCAGGATGCACGAAGCCTTCTCACCACAAAGGCCCTCGCGGTCAATCCTGTCGGCCACAATCAGCTCTCCGTTATTCAGGTTTACGTCGCAGTAACGTTTTTCAGGCCCGTCGGTGTCAATGCGGGGTCTCCTGTTAGTGAGCGCTCCCGTCTGCAGCCCGAGATCCTTGGCGACATTCCCAATGACTGATCCTCGTTTCATCTCCTCCGGGAAAGAATAGCTCGCGTCTCCGTGCGCGTTAAGGAACAGAACGGCGGAAAAGCAGCTCCAGAAGAATAACGCATTCATTTTAACATCCATGTTGAAATTCTAGTGAATATATGAGTTAGAAGTAGAACCACATAAAATCCCGAGAATAACACACACAACACGACGGGAGGTCACTTCATCGCATCTGCTTTTCTCTAGAAAAGCCGATGGGTGCGTCAACAAAGAAATGGGAATAAAATATATTTTAGACTGGTAGATAGCGACACCTTGAGCTGTGTTCCACAATCACAACAACCTTGGACATAAAATAAAAAAAGTAAAAACGTTTGGGGAACATTTCCATTTTAATTGTAGTTTCAATGTAAGTTAGCTGAAACATTAATTATTTTCATCATGGTCTGGGGTGTGTTTATAATTTGTCCAAATCAAGAATAATTTCCCGCGAGTCCAGTTGTCAAACTCGTGTTAGTTAATAAAATTTATGGGTGGATTTTGCATACAATCGCATTTACACATACTGTTTTATATGTGTCTTAAACCCCTTAATGTAGGCCGATATATAGTTGTGACACAAAGACAATATTGATTAGGTTATGCTGTACATCAAACCACAGAAAAACAAACAAAAATGTATGAGTATAGACTTGCAGACATTCAGAATCCGTGTATCTTCGTTCTTTCAGATTTCGATAAAAAAATAAAAAGGAAAAACGGAATTTTGAAAAATAGATGTTATATAAACGGATAAAAAAAAGTTATGTTTTTCATATTTTCTGTTTTAGTCAAAAATATGGAATGGAAAAACGACCGTGGGACCAAATTTGATTTTAATATTTTGCATATCAGGTTTGCCTCGACACATGTACCGATGTGAGTATCCCCGACAGAATGTGACCCTGAATCAGGAGCGCGCGCTGAGTAGGAAGACGCAGATTCACTCCACTGCGCCTGGATTCCAGTTGACGTAGAATTTTGTTTATATTTTGTAAAATAAAAGTGAAAGAAGGGTGTCGTTATAGTCCAGTCTCTGGGTGACAACACAAAGCGCTACGTTTTATCCAAGTGACATTCGGTGACTTTACCTGCAACACGTCAATTTTGTTGCGCTCTCGTTTTAGTGGTTTCTCCGTTCCAACTAATGCATTTCAGTGGTTGAACCGCCTGTGAAGCAGCCCATCGGGCTCTGTGGAAGCATGTTAATCACATGCTGACTGAAATCAGGTGTGCTGAAGCAGAGTTAAAACTAAAACATTCTAAATACTGGCACTCCAGGATTAACCACTGCTCTATAATCGTTGCTAATTTATAAGTAAATTCAGAAGGTTTTGATACAGATATTGTATGTTTTTAATATTCAGGACTAGCTATTGAAATAACTGCTCATGTTTTTAGTGTGTATGTGTGTGTTTGTGTATACACATAGTTTTATCAGCTTTAAGTTGATTGACCATACTGTATAAATGTACTAAATGTACTGCTTTTATTCTAAAAAACCTTGACACATAGTTTTGGTGCCTAGTGATACATCACACATGATCTCAGATCCATCCTGACCCCTCTGCTGCATAGGCGTCTACGTTCTCATGCATCCTCCCTCACAGCAGCACATTATGACCAGCACTCCTCCTAACAAAATCTCTGGGTGTTTACGTATTCCAGGCAATATTCACAGTTTCTATTACAGTTTTTGTCTGTTTTATATTTTACCTTTGTGTGGACTTGAGTTTGTTTATGCAAATAAAATCATTTGTTTTTAAACTTTCTACAGCACAGGCCAAATGTTTGGACACACCTTCTCATTCAATACGTTGTCTTTACTTTCATGGCCATTTACATGGTAGATTATCACTGAAGGCATCAAAACTATGAATGAACACATGCAGAGTTATGTACTTCACTAAAAAGGTGAAATAACTGAAACATGTTTTATGTGCTATTTTCTTCAAAATTGCCACCCTTTGCTCTGATTACTGCTTTACACACTATTGGCATTCTATTGATGAGCTTCAAGAGGTAGTCACCTGCAATGGTTTTCCAGCAGTCTTGAAGGAGTCCCCAGAGGTGTTCAGGACTTGTTGGCCCTTTTTGGAAATGGTCATGGACACAACAGCTGAATTCTCTGCTGGGGGCCAGGATTGATCCTGCAACTCTGCTGGACAAGCAGCTCTACCTCCTGAGTTACTGCTGCCCCCTTTCTATAATAAAGATAACAATTCACTGTTGTCTCTTTCCAATACTTTAATTCAATCCTCAGACTCTTGACTGTCTCACCTTCTCTCCCCTAAAATGAAATACAGTTGATCCACCAACACCTTGGTTCTCATGCTTCCAGTTTAATGTCTGAATATCACTCATCTAGTCACTAAATATCATCTTTCCAGCTCCCCACCCACTCAGAAATAGATAACTCCTCTGTTTCCCACCCACTACACACTTGGAGAGCTTTTGATAGCACTTTAGGCTTTCAATATCTCATTAATATCATCACCCAGTCTGCATATTTCCATGTACATAACTTTATGTCTTCACCCCTCCCTCTCACCCCACATCACTGCTATTCAGTCGTGTCATTTCTTGCCTTGATCTGTTGCCCAATCTTCATAAGAACTTTTCCCATCAGTTCACTTTGTTCGTGTTTTGCAGGTAATTATAAACCTCTTTAATTGACATTTTAGGTCATAGACAACCTTGCATCTCGTGTTTCTGACCTTCTTCATGTCAACACCCCCAACACACGCCTAAATCTTCATCCTCCACACACCTGTCCATCCCGAAAGGTTTTCTACCATGGGGAGTACAGCAGGCAGCTGCTCTGCTGCAAACAGACTACCACTTGTGGTGTACCTAAAGGCCAGTATTTACATCACCAATGACCAGAAATTAACTTTTTAATTTGCAGACACAAACACTCCATCTGTCTGGCCTCCAAACAGGAAAGCACTGCACAAGACCTTGCTACCGAACAAGGAGACCTTAAAGTCTTTGCTCAAGAAGACAAGACCTCTTCACTCTGAATAAAGTTCATTTTCCTTGATTCATTAATGACTTTTTAAAACCTGATAATTGCATAAGTGTCATATAATCATCTCTTCTTAAATCCCAGTGTTTGAATGATGTATTCATCAATCAATGATTTGTTAATGTGAATATTTTTCTTGTAATGATTCATTTCAGATCTTAAACCACACCAGATCAGTATTTGTTGATTTAAGAAGTTATTCTATCAATATACTCATACATCATAAGACCAGTATTAAGGTTAACATTCACTTCACATATTTGGTATAACATTTGCACTTCACACTAAGAGTTAACCTCTGAATATCTGAGTGAAGGTGTGATTTCTGAGGTATTTTGGTAATGCCTTTCAAATGTGTCCAGTTCTGATTTGTCTAAGTTTATAAACAAAAGTTAATAAAAGTGAGAACACTTCCTCATCTATTCAGTATTTGATGTTCACTCAATAAGGCCAATCGGGTGAACAAGCATTGTAAGAACATCCTGTCTTTTGACCTCAAGGTTAAAGCCTCTCTGCAACACTTGCGAGTGTTTTCAGACACAACGGCTCTTTTAAGAGCCACTGAACAGCCTTAGATGCAAACACTGCAGCTTCCTGCTGTCACCTGAAGATAACTCAGACTAGAAGGGTCAAATTCTGAGCTGGCCTTGAGCTCAGGTACAAGAGGCCCTCGCCATCGGCATTGTCCATCTCGACCTCTTGACCCCCTGGATCACTTGGGGATCTTCACACAAGGGTGTGTAGACCGGCACAAACTGCATCAGATTGCTTTATAAACATATCTCTAGCTTATGAAACCATACAGCCAAACTGATTTTACCACCCAGACTCCCCAATCTCTCTCAGATACTTAAGGAAGGCTTTGGTCAAACATCTACAGTAGATCACATTTCATCATTCCATCCATCATCTGTGATCTAGACAACTGTCATTTCATTCATACTTTGTCACGTACAACAATTTAGGAAAATATAATTAAACTAATTTTTATAAACTATATTCTTGACTCTGTCTGAATTAATATGAAGAGTGTATGTTCCCTGAATCGTCAAAGAACCTAAAGGAATACCAAATTAAAAATTCAAAGACCAATCAGTCTGATGTTTCATATTTAGATGGAAAATCCCACCTTGTTTATAATTTAATATTTAAGTAGCCAGTCCTTTAAGCTACATATTTAATGGCAAGGAAGTCCAGTCGTTTCAAATCATGACACTTCTGTTAGTTCACATATTTACAGTTAAAATCTCTTTTGCTGTGTTTTGTTTTGCTGAAACAGTCGGGGCCTCCTGTCTCCTAATCCATATCTTTTCAAAGCGCTGACTCATCTCTCACATAACCAAGTCTGCAAAGTTTGTGCTAGCAAGACTGTTTTACCTTCAAAAGGGAGTGAATGTGTTTTTTTTGTACTCATTTGTCTCTTATGTGTGTTTGTTTGGTGCAACTGGTAATAGAGAAAGCTCTAAACTGCCGACGTTCGCCGTAGCTAATCCTGCCGCCGAGACCTGATCACCCTCGTGTTCTAATCTCGTCCGATGACACATTCTGGGTGAGGCAAATCTGTTTTACAGTGTAAATTTCCAAATCCTCTCAGGTTCTGAAGCTGTTTTTCCGGATTGCCGAGACAAAAACAGGGGCACTAGCCATTAAACCCGTAAAAGCTACGGTACCTAGCATTCTAGCTTTAACAATACAGAAGACCACGATGAAAAAACCTGAGCTCAGATTTATCGCAGATGCTCCGCCTTTTAAATAACAATTCTGAGCTAATTTCATTAAAATTGTTCTTGCCGTCTTATTACATTTCAGCATTATGTTTGTTCCTATTATAATCATGTTTTTGATTTTGTCTTTAAGCTGTTTTATGGACTTTCTTTGTCATTTTTGTTCAGTGGCATAGACTACAGAGAAATATGGTATATATACTCTATAAGGTACTTCATGATTTGCTGTTAAACGCTATTGAATAAAAAAGGACTCGTACCTCTGGGGAAGAATCAGAGTCTCCAAACACATCAACAAACTCAGAGGGACTTTTCTTCAGAGTCTGGTCAGCAGGCAGCGTGTTGTCATTGTAAGATGACACAAACTTAAAGTCACTGGTTCTAGATCCTGTTGTCAGGTAGGCGTCATAGTTGTAGGAGCTGCGTAAAGTTCCTGTTCCATCAACATCTGCGTAATTAGGAGGGAGATAAGCTCCGGGAATGGCCACTGCTCCATCAAACAACAGTCTGGGCTTTCTCCTGCGACAAAACCTCACACCCAGGACGATGATGATGAAGGTCAGGAAGAAGGTGGACACACACACCAGCGCAATGATCAGATACGAGGTCAGTTTGGAGTTCTTGTCATCATAAGAAATATCTTTCAGCTCTGGCACCTCAGCCAAGTTATCAGAAATCAGTAAATACATGGCACAGGTGGCAGACAGAGAGGGCTGTCCGTTATCTTTCACTGCTACAATCAGGTTCTGTTTCATGCTGTCAGATTCAGAAATGTCCCGCTGCGTCCTGATCTCTCCGCTGTGCACACCGATAGTGAAAAGTCCCGGATCAGTGGATCTGACTATCTGATAGGACAGCCAGGCGTTCTGTCCAGAGTCCGCGTCCACCGCTATCACTTTGGACACCAGAGAGCCTCCGTGTGCAGCTTTGGGGACCAGCTCGGTCATGAAGGAGCTGCCCTCCGAGGCGGGGTACAGTATCTGAGGAGAGTTGTCATTCACATCTGATACGAACACACTCACGGTCACGTTGCTGCTGAGAGGAGGAGAACCGTTGTCTCTGGCCATCACGTGGACTTTAAAACTCCTCAGCTGTTCATAATCAAACGACCTGACAGCATGGATCACCCCCGTGTCTCCGTTAACTGATAGATAGGAGGACACCGACGCGCCGTTCACCTCAGCAGGTAACAGAGAATAAATCACGGTACCGTTTTGTCTCCAGTCCGGGTCTCGAGCACTAACGGAACATAAAGTGGAGCCAGGTTTGTTATTTTCACTCACATACGTGCTGTAGGACTGCTCCTCAAACACAGGTGGGTTGTCGTTGATGTCAGCTACAGATAACTGAACAGTTTTAGAGGAGGACAGAGGTGGAGAGCCCTCGTCAGTGGCACTGATTGTAATGTTGTAATCAGACACTAGTTCACGGTCCAGCTGTCCTGTGGTCACCAGAGAATAATAGTTTTTGATAGAAGGAACCAACTTAAAAGGAACGTTCTGCTGGATGGAGCAGCGGACCTGTCGGTTCTTCTCAGAGTCTCTGTCCTGCACGTTGATGATGCCCACCTCTGTACCAGGTGAGGTGTCTTCTGGTATGGGAGTGGTCAGTGATTTCACATTAATGACAGGGGCGTTGTCGTTCACATCAGTAACAGAAATGATGACTTTAGCATAAGATGAAAGCCCAAGACCATCCTTTGCTTTAACACGTATTTCATATGAGGAAGTACTTTCATAATCAACAGAACCAATGGTGCGTATTTCACCAGTTTTACTGTTGATACTAAACAATTTCACGACCTCATCAGACACATGACCAAAATCATAAGTCACATCTCCGTTCAGTCCCTCATCAGCATCAGCTGCACTAACTGTGACCACTAGAGTGTCTAAAGGAGAGTCTTCAGGCAGACTGGCTTTATAAACCTCCTGACTGAACACTGGGGCGTTATCATTAGCATCCAGCACAGAGACATGAATGACTACTGTACCTGATCTCTGAGGAGATCCTCCATCTAAAGCTGTCAGCAACACATTTATTTCCTTGTACTTTTCACGATCAAGCTCCTTATCCAGAACAAGCTCTATTTTATTTCTATCAACAGCTAAAATAAAATGATCGTTCCTTTCAAGGCTGTACTGCTGAACTGCATTCTGTCCTACATCTGCATCATGCGCCTCCTCCAGCACAAAACGAGCTCCTCTGACTGCAGATTCCCGAATTTCTAAACTGACCATTTTCTCCTTAAACTGTGGCGCGTTATCATTAATATCCTGAATATGAAGGCTGACCCGATGGAGCTCTAGAGGGTTTTCCAGCACGAGCTCCTGTTTCAGGATGCACGAAGCCTTCTCACCACAAAGGCCCTCACGGTCAATCCTGTCGGCCACAATCAGCTCTCCGTTATTCAGGTTTACATCGCAGTAACGTTTTTCAGGCCCGTCGGTGTCAATGCGGGGTCTCCTGTTAGTGAGCGCTCCCGTCTGCAGCCCGAGATCCTTGGCGACATTCCCAATGACTGATCCTCGTTTCATCTCCTCCGGGAAAGAATAGCTCACGTCTCCGTGCGCGTTAAGGAACAGAACGGCGGAAAAGCAGCTCCAGAAGAACAACGCATTCATTTTAGCATCCATGTTGAAATGATTGTAATGAATACGTGATATGAGTTAGAGCCACATAAAATCACGAGAATAACACACACAACACGACGGGAGGTCACTTCATCGCATCTGCTTTTCTCTAGAATAACCGATGGGTGCGTCAACAAAGAAGTGGGAATGAAATATATTTTAGACTGGTAGATAGCGACACCTTGAGCTGTGTTCCACAATCACAACAACCTTAGACAGATAAATAAACAGTATACACGTTTGGGGGTCATTTCCATTTTAGATGTAGTTTCAATGTAAGTTAGCTGAAACATTAATTATTTTCATCATGGTCTGGGGTGTGTTTATTATTTGTCCAAATCAAGAATAATTTCCCGCGAGTCCAGTTGTCAAACTCGTGTTAGTTAATAAAATTTATGGGTGGATTTTGCATACAATCGCATTTACACATACTGTTTTATTTGTGTCTTAAACCCTTTAATGTAGGCCGATATATAGTTTGACACAAAGACAATATTGATTAGGTTATGCTGTGCATCAAACCACAGAAAAACAAACAAAAGTGTATGAATACAGACTTGCTTCTGTTCATTCAGACATTCAGAATCCGTGTATCTTCGTTCTTTCAGATTTCAATAAAAAATTAAAAAAGGAAAAACGGAATTTTGAAAAATTGTTGTTACAGAAACGGATAAAAAATTTATGTTTTTCATATTTTCTTTTGCAGTCAAAAATGTGGAATGGAAAAACGACCGTGGGACCAAATTTGATTTTAATATTTTGCATGTCAGGTTTGCCTCGACACATGTACCGATGTGAGTATCCCTGACAGAATGTGACCCTGAATCAGGAGCGCGCGCTGAGTAGGAAGACGCAGATTCACTCCACTGCGCCTGGATTCCAGTTGACGTAGAATTTTGTTTATATTTTGTAAAATAAAAGTGAAAGAAGGGTGTCATTATAGTTCAGTCTCTGGGTGACAACACAAAGCGCTACGTTTTATCCAAGTGACATTCGGTGACTTTACCTGCAACACGTCAATTTTGTTGCGCTCTCGTTTTAGTGGTTTCTCCGTTCCAACTAATGCATTTCAGTGGTTGAACCGCCTGTGAAGCAGCCCATCGGGCTCTGTGGAAGCATGTTAATCACCTGCTGAGTGAAATCAGGTGTTCTGAAGCAGAGTTAAAACTAAAACATTCTAAATACTGGCACTCCAGGATTAACCACTGCTCTATAATCTTTGCTAATTTATAAGTAAATTCAAAAGGTTTTGATACAGATATTGTATGTTTTTAATATTCAGGACTAGCTATCATGTTTTTAGTGTGTATGTGTGTGTTTGTGTGTTTGTGTATACACATAGTTTCATCAGCTTTAAGTTGATTGACCATACTGTATAAATGTACTAAATGTACTGCTTTTATTCTAAAAACCTTGACACATAGTTTTGGTGCCTAGTGATACGTCACACATGATCTCAGATCCATCCTGACCCCTCTGCTGCATAGGCGTCTACGTTCTCATGCATCCTCCCTCACAGCAGCACATTATGACCAGCACTCCTCCTAACAAAATCTCTGGGTGTTTACGTATTCCAGGCAATATTCACAGTTTCTATTACAGTTTTTGTCTGTTTTATATTTTACCTTTGTGTGGACTTGAGTTTGTTTATGCAAATAAAATCATTTGTTTTGAAACTTTCTACAGCACAGGCCAAACGTTTGGACACACCTTCTCATTCAATACGTTGTCTTTACTTTCATGGCCATTTACATGGTAGATTATCACTGAAGGCATCAAAACTATGAATGAACACATGCAGAGTTATGTACTTCACTAAAAAGGTGAAATAACTGAAACATGTTTTATGTGCTATTTTCTTCAAAATTGCCACCCTTTGCTCTGATTACTGCTTTACACACTATTGGCATTCTATTGATGAGCTTCAAGAGGTAGTCACCTGCAATGGTTTTCCAGCAGTCTTGAAGGAGTCCCCAGAGGTGTTCAGGACTTGTTGGCCCTTTTTGGAAATGGTCATGGACACAACAGCTGAATTCTCTGCTGGGGGCCAGGATTGATCCTGCAACTCTGCTGGACAAGCAGCTCTACCTCCTGAGTTACTGCTGCCCCCTTTCTATAATAAAGATAACAATTCACTGTTGTCTCTTTCCAATACTTTAATTCAATCCTCAGACTCTTGACTGTCTCACCTTCTCTCCCCTAAAATGAAATACAGTTGATCCACCAACACCTTGGTTCTCATGCTTCCAGTTTAATGTCTGAATATCACTCATCTAGTCACTAAATATCATCTTTCCAGCTCCCCACCCACTCAGAAATAGATAACTCCTCTGTTTACCACCCACTACACACTTGGAGAGCTTTTGATAGCACTTTAGGCTTTCAATATCTCATTAATATCATCACCCAGTCTGCATATTTCCATGTACATAACTTTATGTCTTCACCCCTCCCTCTCACCCCACATCACTGCTATTCAATCTTGTCATTTCTTGCCTTGATCTGTTGCCCAATCTTCATAAGAACTTTTCCCATCAGTTCACTTTGTTCGTGTTTTGCAGGTAATTATAAACCTCTTTAATTGACATTTTAGGTCATAGACAACCTTGCATCTCGTGTTTCTGACCTTCTTCTTGTTAATACCCCCCACACACGCCTAAATCTTCATCCTCCACACACCTGTCCATCCCGAAAGGTTTTCTACCATGGGGAGTACAGCAGGCAGCTGCTCTGCTGCAAACAGACTACCACTTGTGGTGTACCTAAAGGCCAGTATTTACATCACCAATGACCAGAAATTAACTTTTTAATTTGCAGACACAAACACTCCATCTGTCTGGCCTCCAAACAGGAAAGCACTGCACAAGACCTTGTTACCGAACAAGGAGACCATAAAATCTTTGCTCAAGAAGACAAGACCTCTTCACTCTGAATAAAGTTCATTTTCCTTGATTCATTAATGACTTTTTAAAACCTGATAATTGCATAAGTGTCATATAATCATCGCTTCTTAAATCCCAGTGTTTGAATGATGTATTCATCAATCAATGATTTGTTAATGTGAATATTTTTCTTGTAATGATTCATTTCAGATCTTAAACCACACCAGATCAGTATTTGTTGATTTAAGAAGTTAATCTATCAATATACTCATACATCATAAGACCAGTATTAAGGTTAACATTCACTTCACATAACTGTTATAACATTTGCACTTCACACTAAGAGTTAACCTCTGAATATCTGAGTGAAGGTGTGATTTCTGAGGTATTTTGGTAATGCCTTTCAAATGTGTCCAGTTCTGATTTGTCTAAGTTTATAAACAAAAGTTAATAAAAGTGAGAACACTTCCTCATCTATTCAGTATTTGATGTTCACTCAATAAGGCCAATCGGGTGAACAAGCATTGTAAGAACATCCTGTCTTTTGACCTCAAGGTTAAAGCCTCTCTGCAACACTTGCGAGTGTTTTCAGACACAACGGCTCTTTTAAGAGCCACTGAACAGCCTTAGATGCAAACACTGCAGCTTCCTGCTGTCACCTGAAGATAACTCAGACTAGAAGGGTCAAATTCTGAGCTGGCCTTGAGCTCAGGTACAAGAGGCCCTCGCCATCGGCATTGTCCATCTCGACCTCTTGACCCCCTGGATCACTTGGGGATCTTCACACAAGGGTGTGTAGACCGGCACAAACTGCATCAGATTGCTTTATAAACATATCTCTAGCTTATGAAACCATACAGCCAAACTGATTTTACCACCCAGACTCCCCAATCTCTCTCAGATACTTAAGGAAGGCTTTGGTCAAACATCTACAGTAGATCACATTTCATCATTCCATCCATCATCTGTGATCTAGACAACTGTCATTTCATTCATACTTTGTCACGTACAACAATTTAGGAAAATATAATTAAACTAATTTTTATAAACTATATTCTTGACTCTGTCTGAATTAATATGAAGAGTGTATGTTCCCTGAATCGTCAAAGAACCTAAAGGAATACCAAATTAAAAATTCAAAGACCAATCAGTCTGATGTTTCATATTTAGATGGAAAATCACATCTTGTTTATAATTTATTATTTAAGTAGCCAGTCCTTTAAGCTACATATTTAATGGCAAGGAAGTCCAGTCGTTTCAAATCATGACACTTCTGTTAGTTCACATATTTACAGTTAAAATCTCTTTTGCTGTGTTTTGTTTTGCTGAAACAGTCGGGGCCTCCTGTCTCCTAATCCATATCTTTTCAAAGCGCTGACTCATCTCTCACATAACCAAGTCTGCAAAGTTTGTGCTAGCAAGACTGTTTTACCTTCAAAAGGGAGTGAATGTGTTTTTTTTGTACTCATTTGTCTCTTATGTGTGTTTGTTTGGTGCAACTGGTAATAGAGAAAGCTCTAAACTGCCGACGTTCGCCGTAGCTAATCCTGCCGCCGAGACCTGATCACCCTCGTGTTCTAATCTCGTCCGATGACACATTCTGGGTGAGGCAAATCTGTTTTACAGTGTAAATTTCCAAATCCTCTCAGGTTCTGAAGCTGTTTTTCCGGATTGCCGAGACAAAAACAGGGGCACTAGCCATTAAACCCCTAAAAGCTACGGTACCTAGCATTCTAGCTTTAACAATACAGAAGACCACGATGAAAAAACCTGAGCTCAGATTTATCGCAGATGCTCCGCCTTTTAAATAACAATTCTGAGCTAATTTCATTAAAATTGTTCTTGCCGTCTTATTACATTTCAGCATTATGTTTGTTCCTATTATAATCATGTTTTTGATTTTGTCTTTAAGCTGTTTTATGGACTTTCTTTGTCATTTTTGTTCAGTGGCATAGACTACAGAGAAATATGGTATATATACTCTATAAGGTACTTCATGATTTGCTGTTAAACGCTATTGAATAAAAAAGGACTCGTACCTCTGGGGAAGAATCAGAGTCTCCAAACACATCAACAAACTCAGAGGGACTTTTCTTCAGAGTCTGGTCAGCAGGCAGCGTGTTGTCATTGTAAGATGACACAAACTTAAAGTCACTGGTTCTAGATCCTGTTGTCAGGTAGGCGTCATAGTTGTAGGAGCTGCGTAAAGTTCCTGTTCCATCAACATCTGCGTAATTAGGAGGGAGATAAGCTCCGGGAATGGCCACTGCTCCATCAAACAACAGTCTGGGCTTTCTCCTGCGACAAAACCTCACACCCAGGACGATGATGATGAAGGTCAGGAAGAAGGTGGACACACACACCAGCGCAATGATCAGATACGAGGTCAGTTTGGAGTTCTTGTCATCATAAGAGATATCTTTCAGCTCTGGCACCTCAGCCAAGTTATCAGAAATCAGTAAATACATGGCACAGGTGGCAGACAGAGAGGGCTGTCCGTTATCTTTCACTGCTACAATCAGGTTCTGTTTCATGCTGTCAGATTCAGAAATGTCCCGCTGCGTCCTGATCTCTCCGCTGTGCACACCGATAGTGAAAAGTCCCGGATCAGTGGATCTGACTATCTGATAGGACAGCCAGGCGTTCTGTCCAGAGTCCGCGTCCACCGCTATCACTTTGGACACCAGAGAGCCTCCGTGTGCAGCTTTGGGGACCAGCTCGGTCATGAAGGAGCTGCCCTCCGAGGCGGGGTACAGTATCTGAGGAGAGTTGTCATTCACATCTGATACGAACACACTCACGGTCACGTTGCTGCTGAGAGGAGGAGAACCGTTGTCTCTGGCCATCACGTGGACTTTAAAACTCCTCAGCTGTTCATAATCAAACGACCTGACAGCATGGATCACCCCCGTGTCTCCGTTAACTGATAGATAGGAGGACGCCGACGCGCCGTTCACCTCAGCAGGTAACAGAGAATAAATCACGGTACCGTTTTGTCTCCAGTCCGGGTCTCGAGCACTAACGGAACATAAAGTGGAGCCAGGTTTGTTATTTTCACTCACATAAGCGCTGTAGGACTGCTCCTCAAACACAGGTGGGTTGTCGTTGATGTCAGCTACAGATAACTGAACAGTTTTAGAGGAGGACAGAGGTGGAGAGCCCTCGTCAGTGGCACTGATTGTAATGTTGTAATCAGACACTAGTTCACGGTCCAGCTGTCCTGTGGTCACCAGAGAATAATAGTTTTTGATAGAAGGAACCAACTTAAAAGGAACGTTCTGCTGGATGGAGCAGCGGACCTGTCGGTTCTTCTCAGAGTCTCTGTCCTGCACGTTGATGATGCCCACCTCTGTACCAGGTGAGGTGTCTTCTGGTATGGGAGTGGTCAGTGATTTCACATTAATGACAGGGGCGTTGTCGTTCACATCAGTAACAGAAATGATGACTTTAGCATAAGATGAAAGCCCAAGACCATCCTTTGCTTTAACACGAATTTCATATGAGGAAGTACTTTCATAATCAACAGAACCAATGGTGCATATTTCACCAGTTTTACTGTTGATACTAAACAATTTCACGACCTCATCAGACACATGACCAAAATCATAAGTCACATCTCCGTTCAGTCCCTCATCAGCATCAGCTGCACTAACTGTGACCACTAGAGTGTCTAAAGGAGAGTCTTCAGGCAGACTGGCTTTATAAACCTCCTGACTGAACACTGGGGCGTTATCATTAGCATCCAGCACAGAGACATGAATGACTACTGTTCCTGATCTCTGAGGAGATCCTCCATCTAAAGCTGTCAGCAGCACATTTATTTCCTTGTACTTTTCACGATCAAGCTCCTTATCCAGAACAAGCTCTATGTTATTTCTATCAACAGCTAAAATAAAATGATCGTTCCTTTCAAGGCTGTACTGCTGAACTGCATTCTGTCCTACATCTGCATCATGCGCCTCCTCCAGCACAAAACGAGCTCCTCTGGCTGCCAATTCGTGAATCTCCAGACTGACAATTTTCTCCTTAAACTGTGGCGCGTTATCATTAATATCCTGAATATGAAGGCTGACCCGATGGAGCTCTAGAGGGTTTTCCAGCACGAGCTCCTGTTTCAGGATGCACGAAGCCTTCTCACCACAAAGGCCCTCGCGGTCAATCCTGTCGGCCACAATCAGCTCTCCGTTATTCAGGTTTACATCGCAGTAACGTTTTTCAGGCCCGTCGGTGTCAATGCGGGGTCTCCTGTTAGTGAGCGCTCCCGTCTGCAGCCCGAGATCCTTGGCGACATTCCCAATGACTGATCCTCGTTTCATCTCCTCCGGGAAAGAATAGCTCACGTCTCCGTGCGCGTTAAGGAACAGAACAGCGGAAAAGCAGCTCCAGAAGAACAACGCATTCATTTTAACATCCATGTTGAAATTCTAGTAATGAATACGTGATATGAGTTAGAGCCACATAAAATCACGAGAAAAACACACACAACGACGGGAGGTCGCTTCATCGCATCTGCTTTTCTCTAGAATAACCGATGGGTGCGTCAACAAAGAAGTGGATATAAAACATTTTTTAGACTGGTAGATAGCGACACCTTGAGCTGTGTTCCACAATCACAACAACCTTAGACATAAAATAAAAAAGTAAAAACGTTTGGGAAACATTTCCATTTTTTTCTGATAGAGATGTAGTTCCAATTTAAGTTAGCTGAAACATGAATTATTTTCATCATGGTCTGGGGTGTGTTTATAATATGTCCAAATCAAGAACATTTTCCCGCGAATCCAGTTTTAAAAATTGTGTTAGTTCATAAAATTGCTGCGTGGATTTCGCATGCAATCATATTTCTACAAATTTATCTATGTTTCCTTTCCCCCATTAATGTATAGATATTTGTGACACAAAGACACTATTGATTAGGTTTTGTTGTGCAATAAACCACAGAAAAACATACAAAAATAAATACAGATTGCTTCTCATTCACCTATTTAAACTATTAATGTGTCACTCGTTCTGTGTATTTTCGATTGAAAATTCTAAATCAAGAAATGAAAAACGGATTTGTCTAATTATTTGTTTCATAAGAGATTTTTAAAAAGACTAAAACGTCCTGTTTTCCGTATTTTATGTTTCATTCTCGGATCAAAAATTTGGAATGGAAAAATGGTCTCAGAGTCTAATTTTATTTTTATATTTTATAAGTCACTTAGGTTTGCGTCAACAGGTGTCGTTCCGATGTGCGATGTGAGTATCCCCGACAGAATGTGGCCCTGAGTCAGGAGCGTAGGAAGACGCAGATTCCCTCCACTGCGCCTCCAGCTCATTAGGCGTAGAATTGTGTTTATATTTTGTGAAATAACTGAAAGATGGGTGTCGATACTTTATTGTTCAGACTCTGGGTGACAAAACAAAGCGCTTCGTTTTATCCAGGCGCTATCTGGTCTCCTCCGCTCTGAACACATCTCATCCTCAGCTGAGTACCTGTCTGTCTGCCAACACCCATTTAACCAGGGTGAGCAATAACATCAGAGGGAGATTGTGTTTTTACATGTCACTTGTTCCCCTCATGACTCTACGTGGTGGTTAGCAGGTATTTAACTTTAGCTAACGTTAGCTAACTTTTTGTGCACGCATACAAGCATAGGCGTCATTTTAACCGGGGACGCAGGGGACATGTCCCCGGCAAAATTCGTGATTGGCAGCTGTGTCCCCCCCACTTTCAAAAAAGCCTGCTGATGAGGATTTTTGTTTTACCAGCTCAGATCTTATACCAGGGGTCAGCAACCTATTCCCATCAAAGAGCCATTATTACCCATTTCCCACGGTAAAGAAAACATCGCAGCAGCCGCAGCGTTGCGGGCGGGGCCTACCCTCAGACAGCAGAGCGCTGCTCACAACAGGTGACAGCAGCCGGGGGCATGGCACCCGTGGGGGATTCAACACCCACACTTTTCCAGCTGTTTTGCTCACCTCCACACCAGTCTGGTTTCTTTACGTCGCACTCACTCTGTTTGCCTCATCTCCTTCTTCACCTCCCAGCCGATGTCGGGTTTCCAGGAGAGCAGGAGAGGGAGGGACGGAAGAGCTCGACTGAATTCATAATTTTACATCTTGACATTAGCTGTACAAAGTCTGAGTTTGATAAAGTGAAGAACAACAATTTGCAGAGGTTTATAACTGGCGCGGCGCCAGGTTTTCATTTTTGGATGGGCCACAGTAATTTTGGACGGACCTTAATAAGCAGTGACTTAAGTGAAGCAGGCAGGTCGCGCTAGAAAATTTAGTTTAAAAAGACATCATAAATGTTTTCCCCCGTCATTTTTATTTCTAAAATATGAAGTAAAAACTCACAATTTAATTTTCATTCATTTGTCATTAATATTTAGTCTACAACCGTGCGTTAAGTGGACCAACTTCCAGTAAAAGCAAAGCATCCAGTCCACCTCTCCAAATGCGTAAAATGTGCATCAGCCGCTAGGCGTACCGCGCGCACCATCAGCTGATCAGCCCAGACAAAAGCAGAGCAAATAGAGAAAGAATAGAGGATGATTGTGTCTGGATGTGGATGGAGATTACATTTTACAGCAGCCTGATCATCATTTAAATACGTAAACCATCACCTGTCTTCTAGTCCACGCTATCAGCATTATTTTAATTGGTGTGTGTGTGTGTATGTGTGTGTGTGTGTGTGTGTGTGTGTGTGTGTGTGTGTGTGTGTGTGTGTGTGTGTGTGTGTGTGTGTTTTCCACTTCAAACACTGGTCTAACCAACCAGACCAGCATGTCCAATAACACATTAATGTTCCAATTAAACTTGATTAACCCCAGAGCCGTGCGCACTGCACTGTACTGACTGTAAATGAGGGGGAAACTATTTAATCGGATCCTTTACTTTTCAACATGGTTTAATGTAAAGTTTCATTCAGTACAAACTTTAGTTACACCAATCTAACGAGACAGAGCCTAGATTTGTATTCTGAACAGTTTAAACATGTTTGAAACGGAGACGTGCGTGACGCGTCTAAAATTCGCACCTGCTCCGCTATTACGGAAATTAAACTAACAAGGTGAATAACATGAAATTATTTTAGGCACAGACAACATCCCCCACACTTTTGAAAAGCTTGCAACGTGCCTGATCACTCATGTACGTCTTAATTATCTTTCATTAGACGATAATCAATAAAACAATTTATATAAAATGGATCCAGAAGTTGTAGCCCGTCTCTGCCTTCAATTTTTGGTATTTTTCACCCTGTTGATGGTTTTACTGAGCAGGTGCCACTTTTGTCCTACGTTTCTTTTTAAAACATGTTTAGACTGTTCAGAATACAAATCCAGGCTCTGTCACGTTTGATTGTTGTAATTAAACTTTGTAGGTGGGGAAGGTCAGAAAGCAGCTCAGAAGCGCCGATATGATTACGCACAAGCGTGACGCGTCAACCCGGTCTCACAGTAAGACCGGGTTGGAACTGTTCAGGTTTACGCAGACAATCTTTAAATTTAGAATTGGCTTACAGATGTAAAATTAATGCAGTAAAATATAAAGCTTTTTATTTAAATATCCATTCATTATTTCACACGCACAGAGAGCCGCATCAGATGGATGGAAGAGCCGCATGCGGTTCCAGAGCCGCCGACCCCTGTGCTAGCCTACTTTATTGTCCCCAGCAATTTTTAAACCCCACTCAAGTGTATGGTTATTGTCCCCAGCAATTCTGAAAACAAACTGACGCCCTTGCATACAAGTCATGTGACGTAATCTTCCACTTGCAAAATGCTGAGTCATTCTTTATTCAGCTACGTTGCCAAGACTGTTTACAATGAAGAAGGCAGAGGTACATATTTGGTTTGTGTCAGAGCAGATGAAGGGAAAGACAGCAGACAGCGTCCCTCTTGAGTAAAGGAGGAGCAGTTTATTAAAACATGTTTCAAAATACTCTAACACCCTTAGGTCTGACACATTTGTTATTGTTTCTGAAGAGAGCCAGCAGAGAATGAGAGGAGTTCCCACTGACGCCAGTAACGATGTTAATATGTCTGATATTCATAATTGTTTCTGCTGCATCATTCATGTGCCACTATCAGAAGTAGTTGGATAAATCATGAGAATGAAGCATTAAGGTGGTTGTATAATGAGGGGAAATGGTAACTTTACTATTAATCTCTGTCAAGTTCTGTGTCCCTTTGTTCCCCAGCCCCTCCAGTTCCCACTCCAGGTTTTCCTCTTGTGTCCCATTATTATCCCCAGCCCTCTGTAGACTTCCCCCAGGTGTCCTTAATCATTCCCCATTCCTAGTCAATCTTAATTTAGTCCTCATCATCAGTCTAGTTATTAGTTGTTTATTTTTGGCCCTCAGTCTTTAGGTTTAGTTTAATCCTTGTGTTAAAGGTTAAGGTTTTCTGTCATCCTGCTTGTTTCTTTCCCCTCAGTTAGATTATTGTATTCACCTGCCTTCCCTCCAGCTCTCACTATGCACACCTGCCACCTGTTCCCCTGATCACCTCCCTCTGTGTTTAAAACCCCTGTCTTGTCCTTCAGTGTTTGTCGGTCCATTGTTTGTGTCTGAGCTGTTTTGTTTGCTCCCGTGTTTTTGCCTGAGTCCCTGCTCCTGTAATTGAAACTTCAGTTTTTTGTGTTTTTAATTGCTGGATTAAGCCTCAACTTAAAGAATAAAGAATTTATTTCTTTACCTCCGCTCCTGCCTGCGTGATCTGGTGTTCTGCATCTTGGGTTCAAACCTCCTGCCTGTCAGTGTGACAATCTCTGCTATATTACAATATTTCATGTTGATTTTTCATGTTGATTTTTCATCTCCTCTTTTAAACAGACAGCATTCTTCCGGCTCTTGGAGGGTGCAGACGCTTTTTTCCTCCTCTCCTCCATATCTTATCCTCAAGGCCTTTGTCTGTCTCTGTGTGCTGGATGCACGGCTGATTCTGCATTTTTTTCTGGAAACTGGAGACTGAAATCACTAAAATGGATCTCGTCAGTTGGTCACTCAACGAGACTGTTAAAATTTTTTCAACGATGAGAATGGGAGAAGGGGCTCCCAGATGCCCCTCCGCGACAGACCCAGTTGGACACTTCATGGACTCCTGGAAACGGTGGACCTTGAATTGTCTATCTCAGCTGTCTGTGGAGGACTCTGAAGACGTGTGGATATTTGTGATGTTCGTGTCAGGTTTCCTGCTCATTGGCCTTGGAGGCTACCTGGCTTACCGGAAAATTAACGAGCTGTTGAGGAATATTGGCCTGCTCCCGGAGCTCAGAGATGGATTGCATCTCACTGTGAATTCACAGACTCACATAATAGTCAAGATGAATTGTAAGCTTGGAACTTTGGCCGAGATTCATTCATTGGCACAAAAGATGGATGCCATCAAGGATAGAGTGGACAAATTAGCACAGATTGGGATAGTTTAAAACCCATTATTGGGATTTTGAGAGGTTGAGGACCAAGGAACTTTAAGACAGAGAGGAAATTATCTCTGTCTGGCCCCAAAACAATTTCTAATCGGAATCTGATGCCCTTCAGCCTGCAAGGCTCCAACGAAAACTTCCCCCTCAGAAGATATGTGGAATGTACCGTCGCTATGGCAACTCAACTCTGTCTCCTTTTCCAGCCTGGTCGGGACTGCGAGAAGGCTGCTGAATCGTTCCAGGGTCACTGCAACCCTCCAACCCTCAATGCTCCTCCCCTATCCACACTGAGGTGACATGCACTGCTTATTGTGGCTGCAGGAACTGAAGTAGGAATAGTCCCAACCCACCACCCCACCTAGTGGACACTTGTGTTGTCTGAAGTCTGTTGCATATATGTTTGAGGTGGGTTTTTTGCAGAGCAAAGTTGCCCTCCTGGTGGAGGGTAGCTCTGAAGTGCCTTTTTTTCCCTCCACCTGAACCAATCCTCATGTAACCTTCTTATCTCTATGCTCTATTAAGGTAGTGCGACTCAGGGTTGCGAATGACCACAGTCACCAATTCTTGTCGTGTCTTGCCCATGTATGTCTGATCTCTGAATTGTGTGTACTGAAACTCTAATTTTCCTCTGGGATTAATAAAGGATCTTTTTCTTTGAAATACAGAGTTGATGGACCAGATCAGCCACACCAAAAGCTGTTTCTTGACCACTTCAGGGCAGCAGGAGAGAAGAAACCTTCAAGCTTCCTGGACCATCAGACACCCTTCTCTGGAAAGCCATCACAGCCACGAATGCCTATTGTGATGCATGTGGCTTCCCAAACAAGTCCAAGATTTACTTCATTCCAAGAAGTGATGTTTAGAGATTTGCTGTGCTCTCATTTTAGTGGTTTCTTTGCTCCAACTTACGTGCAGCAGCTCATCAAGCTCTGCAGAAGCCTGTTTATCACCTGCCGATTGAAATCAGGTGTGTTGAAGCAGGGTAAAGCATGGATATCAGCCCTCCAGGACAAGAATTAACCACTGCTCTATAAAATTCAGAAGGTTTTGATACAGAGATTGTATGTTTTTAATATTCAGTATATTTAATACTCGTGTTATTAGTGTGTGTTTGTATGCACAGTTTCATAAGCTTTAAGTTGATTCATAACTCTGTATAAATGTATGGCTTTATATATATATATATATATATATATATATATATATATATATATATATATATATATATCAAGAGGAACAACTCAATAATTCACCTACTCACAGTTTCATGTAACCAATTGTGTGCCACTGAATGTGTCCGTGCTTAAGCAGCCTTAAACTTTCTTCAACAACTGTAATCCATATTATGTAATAAAGAATTCTTGATACCTAAAACGGTTTAGGTCAACTTTTACCAGTACCAGTTACTAAAGGTGGTCTAACTGGCAAAGGGCTGCTTTGAGTCTTGACCAGGAAGGCATAGCCCTGACAAGCTTTAACAGACAAAAACATGGAGGGCCTAAAAGAGCCAGAACTATTCATCATGATCATCATCATCATCATCATCATCATCATCATCATCATCATCATCATCATCTCTTTTATTTCTATAGTCCTTTCAACACCCAGCAGCTTGACACAAAGTAATGAACACAGCATTTAAAGTTATAAAAACATACAAACATAAAAAAACAAAGCAAGCAAAAACACATAGCATAAACATAACTTAAAATAATTACAACACATTAAAAAAACTGCTGCCAGGATTGCATTACTGCTCATTACGGCTAGCCAATAAATACAATATTTTGAAAACCTGGATGGTGGGAATGCATTTATGTATTAATAAATTGATCCAAAATTGCAAAGCCAGAACCAACATAACCTGGTCAACTCTAGTTAAAGCTGGATCTGGACACATCCCGGGGGCAAAAATCTGTCAGCTCCACATCATCTGGTTAAAAGTACTGCTAAGTAGGAAGAAGCACTGCCTTGAGAGCTTTAAAACAAAATTTGTATTTGTGTCTGAAAGTTTTTTCAATGTTATCAAATCTAAAAACGTATCAGTTTGGATAAATACAAAATAAACTAGAAAAATAAACAAAGATATATAGAAAAATAAACTAAAAGACTAAAAGAGCGAGCTGAGCTAGAAAGCTAGGCTCTCAATTTACCGGTCGATCTACGTCCCAATCCTCACCTATGGTCATGAGCTTTGGGTAATGACCGAAAGAACGAGATTGCGAATACAAGCGGCCAAAATGAGTTTCCTCCGTAGGGTGGCTGGGCTAAGCCTTAGAGATAGGGTGACGAGCTCGGACATTCGGGAGGGACTCGGAGTAGAACCGCTGCTCCTCCGGATCGAAAGGAGTCACTTGAGGTGGTTTGGGCATCTGGTAAGGATGCCTCCTGGACGCCTCCCCGGGGAGGTGTTTCGGGCATGTCCTGCCGGCAGGAGGCCCCCGGGTCAACCCAGGACACGTTGGAGAGGTTACATCTCCAATCTGGTCCGGGAACGCCTTGGGGTCTTGCCGGAGGAGCTGGTGGAGGTGGCTGGGGAGAGGACGGTCTGGAGCTCCCTAGTTGGGATGCTGCCCCCGCAACCCGGACCCGGATAAGCGGAGGAAGATGAAGACGAAACACACGTAAGGCCAAGAGAAAATCATATGTGAGCATTTTGTATTGTGAGAAAAAAAATCCAAGTACTGATGATCGGAATGATATTGTTTTGTCCATGTTTGTGATGGATGTCTAAAAATAAAACTCAGTCTATTGTTTTTCAAAATGTGATGCATTTACAAAGTAAGAAAGGTACATTAAAGGTCTTTGTTAGGGCCACTTTATATTTCAAAGCAAATGCAGACATGACACCAGTTTATTTGCTTAATAAATGAAAGTGATTAATGACCCACATCTCAGTCCAGTTGTGTCATGTCAGGTTCAGGGCTATGTCCTGGGTCCCCTCCTCTTCATAATTTATCTTCTTTCCCTTGGTACATATAACATCAGTTCTCACTGACATACTGATGAATCACAAATCTATTTACTAGCAATCCCACGTCCCCCTCTACACACAACGCTGACTGGAAGTGTTGCAGAAACTGAATCCTAGTTCTCCTTGAATTTACTAAAATTAAACAGCGGTAAACTCAGAGTATCCTCCTTGGCTAAAGAAAACCAACAAAACCAGACAACTTCTAGCCTTTTCTTGATAACTCCTCTGTTGCCCATCTGCAACACATGTTAAGAGCTTGGACAGCCTTTGATAGCATGTTACACTTTCAATGTCTCATTAATTTCATCACCCAGTCTGCATATTTACATGTACACAACATTTTTGTCTTCACCCCTCCCTCTCACTCAACATGACTGCTATTCAATCTTGTCATTTCTTGCCTTGAATGCTGCCCAATCATCTCAAGAACTTTTCCCATCAGTTTGCTCCTGATTTGCAGGTAATTGAAAACCTCTTTAATTACCATTTTAGGCCGTAGACAACCTTGCATCTAGTGTTTCTGACTGTCTTCATGTTGACACTCCCTTACACATGCTTGAACCTTCATCCTCCACACCCTTGTCCATTCCTCCTGAATGTCTTCCTACCATGGGGAGTAGAGCAATCAGCCGCTCTGCTGCAATACATTAAATAGACTACCACTTGAGCTCAGAATTATTGCATCAGTTTCTCTTTTTAAACTAAATCTCCAAGCTCATTTCCTTGAAATAATTTTTGCACTCTGATTATGATTCAGCATTATGTGTGTTCTAATTACAATGTTTGTGCTTTTGTCTTAAAACTGTTCTATGGACTTATTTGTATTTTTTTTTTCAGTGACATTGACTGCAGAGAAAGATGGTATTCATACCCTTAGGGAACTTAAAGACTTGCTGTTAAATGCAATTGAATGAAAAGGGATTCATACCTCAGGGGAAGAATCAGAGTCTCCAAACATATCAGCAAACTCAGAGGGACTTTCCTTCAGAGTCTGGTCAGCAGGCAGCGTGTTGTCATTGTAAGATGACACAAACTTAAAGTCACTGGTTCTAGATCCTGTTGTCAGGTAGGCGTCATAGTTGTAGGAGCTGCGTAAAGTTCCTGTTCCATCAACGTCTGCGTAATTAGGAGGGAGATAAGCTCCGGGAATGGCCACTGCTCCATCAAACAACAGTCTGGGCTTTCTCCTGCGACAAAACCTCACACCCAGGATGATGATGATGAAGGTCAGGAAGAAGGTGGACACACACGCCAGCGCAATGATCAGATACGAGGTCAGTTTGGAGTTCTTGTCATCATAAGAAATATCTTTCAGCTCTGGCACCTCAGCCAAGTTATCAGAAATCAGTAAATACATGGCACAGGTGGCAGACAGAGAGGGCTGTCCGTTATCTTTCACTGCTACAATCAGGTTCTGTTTCATGCTGTCAGATTCAGAAATGTCCCGCTGCGTCCTGATCTCTCCGCTGTGCACACCGATAGTGAAAAGTCCCGGATCAGTGGATCTGACTATCTGATAGGACAGCCAGGCGTTCTGTCCAGAGTCCGCGTCCACCGCTATCACTTTGGACACTAGAGAGCCTCCGTGTGCAGCTTTGGGGACCAGCTCGGTCATGAAGGAGCTGCCCTCCGGGGCGGGGTACAGTATCTGAGGAGAGTTGTCATTCACATCTGATACGAACACACTCACGGTCACGTTGCTGCTGAGAGGAGGAGAACCGTTGTCTCTGGCCATCACGTGGACTTTAAAACTCCTCAGCTGTTCATAATCAAACGACCTGACAGCGTGGATCACCCCCGTGTCTCCGTTAACTGATAGATAGGAGGACACCGACGCGCCGTTCACCTCAGCAGGTAACAGAGAATAAATCACGGTACCGTTTTGTCTCCAGTCCGGGTCTCGAGCACTAACGGAACATAAAGTGGAGCCAGGTTTGTTATTTTCACTCACATAAGCGCTGTAGGACTGCTCCTCAAACACAGGTGGGTTGTCGTTGATGTCAGCTACAGATAACTGAACAGTTTTAGAGGAGGACAGAGGTGGAGAGCCCTCGTCAGTGGCACTGATTGTAATGTTGTAATCAGACACTAGTTCACGGTCCAGCTGTCCTGTGGTCACCAGAGAATAATAGTTTTTGATAGAAGGAACCAACTTAAAAGGAACATTTCCATGTACAGTGCAACGGATCTGTTGGTTATTATCAGAATCTGCATCCTGCACATTGATAATTCCTACATCTGTTCCTGGTGGCACACTTTCTGGCACTGGGTTAGTTAGAGACTTGATGTAGATTACAGGGATGTTATCATTGACATCAATGACATCTATGGTAACTTTTGTGTATGTTGACAATCCTAATCCATCCTTCGCTTTAATGCGTAAATCATATGATGTAACAGTTTCAAAATCGATTGCACTAATAAGTTTTATTTGACCATTTTTATGGTCAATTTGAAAAACTTTCTTTACATCCTCAGACACGTGACCAAAATCATAAGTCACATCTCCATTCAGTCCCTCATCAGCATCAGCTGCACTAACTGTGACCACTAGAGTGTCTAAAGGAGAGTCTTCAGGCAGACTGGCTTTATAAACCTCCTGACTGAACACTGGGGCGTTATCATTAGCATCCAGCACAGAGACATGAATGACTACTGTACCTGATCTCCGAGGAGATCCTCCATCTAAAGCTGTCAGCAATAAATTTACTTCCTTCCCCTTTTCACGATCAAGCTCCTTATATAGAACAAGCTCTATCTTATTTCCATCAGAATCCAAAATAAAATGATCGTTACGTTCGAGGCTGTACTCCTGAACTGCATTCTGTCCTACGTCCGCATCATGCGCCTCCTCGATCACAAACCGAGCTCCTTTAATCGCCGACTCCCGAATTTCTATTTTAAAAGACGCTTCATTAAACAGCGGAGAATTGTCATTAATATCCTTAATATGGAGATTAAAAGGATGCAGTTCAAGAGGATTTTCCAGAACAAGATCCCGTTTGATCACACACGACTGTTTTTCTCCACAAAGCTCCTCTCGGTCAATCCTCTCGGCCACTATTAGATCTCCTGTGCTCACGTTTACATCACAGTAATGTTTGCGGTTTCCTGTCGCATCCACGCGAGCATTTCTAAATGATAGTTTACGCAAATCCAGACTCAGATCCTTCGCTATGTTTCCAATAACAGATCCACGCTTCATTTCCTCTTGAAACGAAAAGCTCACATCACCATTTGCGACATTCCCCAATAAAAAGAAAACAAAGAAAGTAATTCGAGGCTCCATGATGGACGAGAGAAGGTGGATTAGTGAAGAAAATGCAACCCCGACTTGATATTTAGGAATCCTGTCTGTTAAAATGGAAATAAACGCAGCTTCCAGGAAAACAGAGCGCAAAGCACGAGCTGACTCGAAATGAGAAAAAAAATGCCCTTGAATCAGTCTTAACAAAGAGTGGAGGAGACAAATCTTCACGTTATAAGGCGGATGGCGACGCCATGAGAGCAGAAAAGGCACAGCACAATAATAAAAATAACTGCATCAGAAAGACAAAGATGGGATGAAATAATTTCCGCTGAGAAGCAGCTCGGAAATTGTGACCAAAATAAAATAACCATAAATCAAGAGTTCAGTAAATGTCTTTGAATTTCCGGCAGAATGTTATGCCTTTTATTTAACAACATTTCTGAATAGAAAAAGGAAGGAGATTAGACTTTTCATTAACAGTAAGACCTAGTAATAATTCAGACAGCCTGTGGAAACCCAAATCATACTTTAAGAATCGACTGAATAAAATATTTGTGAAAATTAAAGGTAGAAATTTGAAAATTGAAAATTGAAAACGTACATGAAGGTGAAAGTATCAGTTACAATAATGCATGATGCAACATTAAATATTGTCTAAAAATAATTTAATTAGAGAGAGAAATGTTAATAATTGATTCAAATGTAGGACGAAAAAATCAAAATTACTGATTAAAAAACAAGCCAAGTTTCAGAATTTAAGTATCTTGGTGAATAATAACATCTACCAACTTAATCAAAACCAATTATAGAATTTTCTTTAACGAACCCAGTGTAATAAAGTCTGTTTAAAAGAAATAAAAACCCCATTTGAGTGTCTTAAATACTTTTTAAATAACCTTTCCACAAAATATGTTTCAATAAAAAATAAATAAATTCTGATCAAGTACCATGCTAAAATGATTAACCATGAACATTCTATTTAAATAAAAATCACCTCTGCATGTTGTTTAATTTAGTTGTGGTATTAACTGGCATTACAAGCTGTTCCCAAGATAATATTCAAAAAATCAATTAAATTGTATCAAGCATCAAACTCTCCAGAGATATCATAAAACTTGATTAGGCCATTTACAGAATATATTCAATATTAGCATCAATTAAATAAGACATAAATAAATAAACAAACAAATAAATAAAGAAGAGAGCTGTAAATGCTAGCAGCAACTAAAAGGTTCAGCACCAAGGACAGAGACGTAAGACCAAAACTGCAGATGGCACCCATATTACAGTAACTAAACAGACCACAGAAAAGTTAGATTGTTTCTCATTCCTACTTGTTTTGTAATTTCCTTTCTATTGTTTAGAATACATTTTCTAAATAGGGGTTTATGGAAAGTAAATGCTGTCCTATGACACAAAAATTGAGAAAATATGTCATCAAGAGGAGGATAAAGCTGATGTTTCTCCAAAATAAAAATTTGTGTAAAAAATATTTTCAATCAATAGAAACGAGACAAAATGAAAACGACTACTAAATTTGAAAGTATAAACGAAAGTTTGCTAAGCAACAAAGATAAATTTGGGAATATGAATCGAGTTAACTGCCTACCTCTGGGGAAGAATCACAACTTCCAAACACATCAGCAAACTCAGAGGGACTTTTCTTGAGAGTCTGGTCAGCAGGCAGCGTGTTGTCATTGTAAGATGACACAAACTTAAAGTCACTGGTTCTAGATCCTGTTGTCAGGTAGGCGTCATAGTTGTAGGAACTGCGTAAAGTTCCTGTTCCATCAACATCTGCGTAATTAGGAGGGAGATAAGCTCCGGGAATGGCCACTGCTCCATCAAACAACAGTCTGGGCTTTCTCCTGCGACAGAACCTCACACCCAGGACGATGATGATGAAGGTCAGGAAGAAGGTGGACACACACACCAGCGCAATGATCAGATACGAGGTCAGTTTGGAGTTCTTGTCATCATAAGAAATATCTTTCAGCTCTGGCACCTCAGCCAAGTTATCAGAAATCAGTAAATACATGGCACAGGTGGCAGACAGAGAGGGCTGTCCGTTATCTTTCACTGCTACAATCAGGTTCTGTTTCATGCTGTCAGATTCAGAAATGTCCCGCTGCGTCCTGATCTCTCCGCTGTGCACACCGATAGTGAAAAGTCCCGGATCAGTGGATCTGACTATCTGATAGGACAGCCAGGCGTTCTGTCCAGAGTCCGCGTCCACCGCTATCACTTTGGACACCAGAGAGCCTCCGTGTGCAGCTTTGGGGATCAGCTCGGTCATGAAGGAGCTGCCCTCCGGGGCGGGGTACAGTATCTGAGGAGAGTTGTCATTCACATCTGATACGAACACACTCACGGTCACGTTGCTGCTGAGAGGAGGAGAACCGTTGTCTCTGGCCATCACGTGGACTTTAAAACTCCTCAGCTGTTCATAATCAAACGACCTGACAGCGTGGATCACCCCCGTGTCTCCGTTAACTGATAGATAGGAGGACACCGACGCGCCGTTCACCTCAGCAGGTAACAGAGAATAAATCACGGTACCGTTTTGTCTCCAGTCCGGGTCTCGAGCACTAACGGAACATAAAGTGGAGCCAGGTTTGTTATTTTCACTCACATAAGCGCTGTAGGACTGCTCCTCAAACACAGGTGGGTTGTCGTTGATGTCAGCTACAGATAACTGAACAGTTTTAGAGGAGGACAGAGGTGGAGAGCCCTCGTCAGTGGCACTGATTGTAATGTTGTAATCAGACACTAGTTCACGGTCCAGCTGTCCTGTGGTCACCAGAGAATAATAGTTTTTAATGGAAGGAACCAACTTAAAAGGAACGTTCTGCTGGATGGAGCAGCGGACCTGTCGGTTCTTCTCAGAGTCTCTGTCCTGCACGTTGATGATGCCCACCTCTGTACCAGGTGGTGCGTTCTCTGGTACCGGGTTGGACAGGGACTTTAGGTTAATAACAGGGGCGTTGTCATTCACATCAATTATGTCAATGATTAGTTTAATTTCTGAGGTTAGTCCGTATCCATCTTTAGCTTCAATCATAACTTCATATCTAGGACCTTCTTCATAATCTACATCACCTGTTACAAAGATTACTCCAGATTTCTGATCAATAGAAAAAAGCTTCCCTGCTTTATCAGACAGTCGGCTAAATTCATACGTGACCTCTCCATTAACACCGTCATCTGCATCTGTTGCACTAACTGTAACAACTGGGGTTTTTACCGGAGAGTTTTCCGGTAACCTGGCTGAATAAACAGACTCGGTAAAAACGGGAGCATTATCGTTAGCATCCAGCACAGTGACATGAATAACTACAGTCCCAGATTTAGGAGGAGATCCTCCATCTACAGCTGTGAGCAGCAGTCTCAGTTCGTTCTGATCTTCTCGGTCTAACTCTTTATCCAAAACCAGCTCTCCATATTTGCTGCCACTGCTGGATGTCTGAATATTAAACACGAAGTGCGCGTTTTGTTTCAAAACGTAGCTTTGAACGGAGTTCTGGCCTATGTCTGAATCATGAGCAGCAGTCACACGGTACCTCGCTCCTTTAACAGCGGATTCTCTGATTTCCAGCTTCATTACATCCTTTTGGAAAACGGGTGAATTATCGTTTATATCCTGCACCTGGAGAGACAGTCGTTGTAATTCCAGAGGATTTTCTAAAAGCAGATCGAATTTGAGAACACATGTCGGCTTCTCCCCGCAAAGCTCCTCTCTGTCTATCCTCCCTACAACGACCACATCCCCATTTTTCTGGTTGATTGTTATATACTGTTTATCAGTTCCTTCCATTTCGACACGCGCTTTACGCGCAGCCAGTCTCCCGAAATCCAGTCCCAAATCCTTTGCGATATTTCCAATGACAGATCCGTGTTTCAGCTCCTCTTCGACTGAATAGGTCAGGTCTCCGTGAGCGCAGTGCAGCACAAAGAAAACAAAGAGTCCGCAGATTAATGCGATTCGCAGACTAAATGCCATCGTTGCGCAGCTTAATGCCACAAGCGACAAAACTACGTTTTTACCCGTAAAATAATTTACTCACAAATCTATGATTTTCTCTCCGCTGTGACCACCAGTCTTAAATAGCACAGAACACACACCGACCAATCCCAGTAATGGAGGATGTAAGACAAGCACGGTCAATGTTACACGCTTATCTGGTCTATACTGACACCTTGAGTAGAAATAAAATATAACCACTGCATAGAAATGATCAAACTCTTCAGCAACTATTTTAGTGCTGAAACTTAATATGTTTTATGTCATTATGAAAACCTCTTTAATTAGTTCAAATGCAGTGTTATTCTCATGTGACAGAATTGCAAATTAAAAATAATTGTTTTAAAATATATCTGATCCCACAACGTTTATGTTTACAGAAAACATTATCAAAGGTATAGCTCACATCAATCTGCACAGAGCTTCCTTTCTCATTCGTAATGAAACAATAACACAAATAAATGGATTATTATTAGAAAAGACACACATAAGATATAGTATAGACCATGCGTAGTGGTGGGCTACAATTGCAAAGGAGTCATCTGTGTTTTGTCCTCCTTTCATTTTATCAGAAAGAGCACAGATAATATGAAAAAAATGTTAAATGTTAATTACTTGTTATATAAGAGCATGTGATCCTTCTGTTTAATGTCTTAATTTCTATTGACGGATGAGATAATTTCTACTGATGAAGAACACAGCTATGCAGTCGGACTTTTTTTTCATCAACAGATGAGACTTCAGACAAATCAAGGGCACAACTGTGCATGCAAACTTTCAGACAAATGCCTAGGCTGCAATGGATCACCACAAATAACAGACACAATAGCATAAATGAAGATGTAGCATGCTTTTTACTTCTTTTAAACATCTTTGGTTCTTGAGTTCATGGTCCAGTCCAGCCCAAACCAGATAGTTTTACATGGTGAGTTTAAACAAGCCGTCACCCCTGATACATTTGCAGATTTGCTTGAAATCACATTATCATAGAATATGTATGCCTCTTTTGGCATAGATTTTTTGTGTGATAATTTAATCTGATGTCTCATTTAAATGTCTAAATCACTGTAACAAATACCACTGATTTGATGAGGAAGCAATAAAAAAGAAACAATCCAAATGTTTAAAACAGAAATATAATTTTTTTTTCAAATGATTCAAAATGAAGCACAGTAGAATAAAAGGCAAAAAGGCTTTTGTCAAAAATGAGTTCATGTTTTCCATCATTTTCCTTCAGGAAGAAGAATCTTCATCCTCAACAACAATGCTGATTCGTCATATATACAACCATCTGCAACCCCATGCAAATATCCTAATCCTGGAAGACATGAATATTCATATTCCCACACGCACTCATCACAGGTTCTCAACCAATCTTTCCTGCAGCTGATGAAGCAGTGAATTAGTACCTCACCCACAGTAGCCTTGTGGATGTGAAATCCCCCATGAAACCAACACATTCTCACACTCAAAGTGTCAAAAACTGATGACGGGTGACCAAGCGTTTGTTTTGGGAGCTGTGCCAGAGCGTCACTTTCCAAATTCCACGAGAAAACGGAGATTTCACCGAATTCTGACCTTTACCCTTTTGCTATTTAATCTTCCCCTCTCCCCCATCCTAAGCTTAACCCACTTGCGCATGCAAAACTTAGTTTCTAGTTGTAACATCCCTCTCAAACATTGTTAACAGGAAGTTTAGAATGAGAAACAAGGTCATGGTTAGTTTGGGGGTGAGGGGAAGGTTAAATAGCAAGAGGTTAGAGGTTAAATGTCAGTGAAATGTTATCGCAGGTGTCGGAAACTGACGCCTCCTGATGCTCCTAATGCATCGAAAACAAAAGCTTGGTCCCTCAACATCATGTTTGGACGCTTCGGGTGTGAGAATATGTTGATGAAACCTACATTGTTTGCTTCCCCGGTTAAAGGAGGCCTCTCACTGATAAAAATTAGACAGTGAAACTCTAGGATTTGAAAAACCTGACAGATCTCTGTAACACTGTCACTAACATTCATGGACTCACCCATCATGACTTGCAACGCGGAAAGCTGCTGTTGGTTTAGCATCTAGAAAACAGCAGAGAATATCTCGGCTAGTAGAAGCTAACTGTTAGATTAGCTAACTATCTTGTTAAACTCCAATCTCTACCATCCACAGCCTCCACTGAACAAAAGTGTGATAATATATTTGCTTTCTCTACATCTTACATTATCTATTTTCTCTGTTTCGTCTGGCTTCCCTACAAACAGATTGTTCAGACTCCACCTGTCCTCAAATACATAGATACATAGATATAGATGGTGGTGCGTGTAGATGCAGCGACCTCACGCTCTCCTGAAAATGCGGTGTTTTGTTTGTCAAGTAAGTGTCTTTCTGCAAGTATTTCTTGCCAGTCCACGTCGGAATATGTGTACAGTCGTCAGGCTCTCTTACACATTCGGAGAAGCAAGATCTGCCAAGTTTTGAACACTAACGTTGAGGTGTTAAGGGAAATAGGACTTCTGCAACAGCCTGCTAGCTGGCCTAGCAACCCACAGGACTCGCCTGCTACCCCTCGCTGGGCAAGGAGACGTCGAAAGCGGTGCGCTAGGACAAGGAAGCGGGGAAAGCGCGGAGGTGTCTGAGTCAGGCTTGATGCTAAGCCAACTCGCCCAGCCATTCCATCGCTACTCTTGGCCAACGTACGATCTCTGAACAATAAAATGGACAGCGTACGACTTCTGAGATCAGCGAATCGCAGAGTAAATGACTGTTGTGTGCTTGTTTTCATTGAGACATGGCTTAATGACAACATTCCGGACTCGGCCATACAGCTGGAGCAGCTAGCATGCTACAGAGCCGACAGGGCTCTCGTAGACGGAGGCAAGACCCGAGGTGGTGGGGTCTGTGTTTACATCCATGACGAGCGGTGTCGTGATGTCACTGTAGTACGAAAACACTGCTCATCACTGGCGGAGTTCATGATAGTGAAGTGCTGCCCCTTCTACTTGCCCAGGGAGGTAAGTTCGATCTTGTTGGTCGCTACTTATATACCTCCATCTAGCAACAACAGCGATAGAAATGCGGCGCTGAACAAATTGTATCAGGCCATCAGTGAGCAACAAACAGCACACCCAGACGGTTTCATCATCCTCGCAGGAGACTTTAATCACGCTGATCTTAAAACTGTTCTCCCAAAGTTTCATCAGCATGTACATTTTCCAACAAGGGGAGAAAACATATTGGACCTGGTCTACACACAGGAAAAAGGAGCATACAAAGCCATTCCCCTCCCCCATATCGGCACCTCTGATCACCTCACTGTGATGCTAATGCCAGCATACAGACAGAGAGTGAAGGTTGTCAAACCGCTTATGAAAGAGGTAAGAGTGTGGCCACAGGGGGCCACCTCTGCTCTTCAAGACTGCTTTGGGTCAACTGATTGGGACATATTCAGGGAAGTAGCTACCTACAATAACAGCAGAGACATCGAGGAGTACACAGATACGATGAGCTCATACATCACCAAATGCATTGATGACGTTACACAGGTGAAAAGCATCACAACTCGAGCAAACCGGAAGCCATGGCTAACAGGAGATGTCCTCAGGCTGCTAAAGGCCAGAGACAAGGCCTTCAGAGCTGGGGATGAAATAGGCCTGAGAACAGCGAGAGCAAACCTGTCCCGCGGCATCAGGAAAGCGAAACAGGACTACACACACAAGATAACCTCCCACTTCAATGACAGCAAGGACACACGGAGCCTATGGCAAGGCATCCAGGCTATTACAGACTACAAGCCTGCAGCGCGTAGCTGTGAGAACGACACCACTCTGCTCAACAACCTGAACAGCTTCTTTGCACGATTTGAGACACAGAACAACACACGCCCACAGAAAACACCACCACCTCCACATGCCCAGCCTCTGTGCCTGTCTGTTGCCAGCGTGAAGAAGACACTCATCACCATCAACGCCCGGAAAGCAGCAGGTCCGGACAACATCCCTGGTAGTGTGCTGAAAGACTGCGCAGAGGAGCTGAAGAATGTCTTCCCAGACATCTTTAACACCTCGCTGAGGCAAGCCACTGTCCCATCATGTTTCGACTGCCACCATCATACCTGTACCAAAGAAATCATCCCCAGCTTGTTTCAATGACTACCGCCCCGTGGCACTGACACCCATTATTATGAAGTGCTTTGAACGACAAGTCATGTCACAAATCAAATCCACCCTACCCCCCACTCTGGACCCATACCAGTTCGCATACAGAGCGAAATGATCCACAGAGGATGCAATCTGCTCTGCCCTCCACCCAGCCCTAACTATTCTGGACAAGAAAGACTCATATGTGAGCATGCTATTCATAGACTTTAGCTCAGCATTCAACACCATAATATCACAACAACTCATCTGTAAACTGGACAGACTGGGCCTCAGCACCTCACTTTGCAACTGGCTGCTGGATTTCCTCAGCCAGAGGCGGCAAGTGGTGCGTGTGGGCAACAAGGTCTCAAACAGCATCACCCTGAGCATGGGGGCTCCACAAGGCTGTGTGCTCAGTCCTCTGCTCTTCACCCTGTTGACACATGACTGCGCACCAACCTACAGCTCCAACCACCTTGTGAAGTTTGCGGACGACACAACGCTGGTAGGACTCATCACCAAGGACGATGAGACCCACTACAGGAAAGAGGTTGAGCTCCTGACCACTTGGTGCAGAGACAAAAACCTCCAGCTAAATGTTAGTAAGACCAAGGAGATCATTGTCAACTTCCAGAGAGGCCACAACAACTACCCCCCATTGACCATCGACGGCGCTGCGGTGGAGAGAGTGAGCAGCACGAAGTTCCTGGGGGTGCACATCAGGGAGGACCTCTCCTGGACCACCAACACAGCTTCACTGGCCAAGAAAGCACAACAGCGCCTCTACTTCTGGCGCAAACTCAAGCGGGCAAGTGCTCCACCACCCATCCTGATCACATTCTACAGAGGAACTATTGAAAGCATCCTCTCCAGCTGTATCACTGTGTGGGGCGGTAGCTGCACTGACTATAACAGGAAAACTCTACAGCGCATTGTGAGAATGGCTGAGAGGATAGTTGGTGCACCACTCCCCTCCCTGCAAGACATTTACACCACTCGCCTCACCCGCAAAGCCATCACAATTGTCAATGATGCCACCCACCCTGCGCACTGTCTGTTCAGCCTCCTGCCCTCTGGAAAGAGATACAGAAGTCTCCGCTCCCGCACTACCAGGCTCACCAACAGTTTTGTCCACCAGGCTGTGAGACTGCTGAACTATCTTCCCTCACAGATCCCAGCCAGCAGAATCACCAGGGTGACAGGGGTATAGGATGACAGACTGGACCCTACACCCCACCCCACACA